TGTTGGCCTCGTTGTAGTGGACCAGTTGAACTTTGCACAGCAGTTGGAAAACGCCACACGTTTACCACAAAATAGAAGGGAATAATAATGTACATACATCGTAAAAATAAATAAAGGGTAATGGTGCCAAAAAAGGTGCTTTGATTCGCGCTGACGTCACTTGATAGCAGTCCGACACCAGCTCGGTGACGCTACATTAATAGTGAAGAATGATGCCCAGCTTTAATTTTTTTCGAAAAAAATTAGTCCGCTTTATATACATACAAAATCTTCTCCAACCTCAGAAAGAACCGATTGTTACCTGTGTTTATGTCTCTTATTTTGATAATTTATCCAACTAATAAAAATTAATTAAATAGCTGCATCACATTTAAATTCAAAAACAAAACGAAGAATATTGTCATAATTGTTATAAGTTATAAACGCGTTGCACCAAATCATCTGTTGCCAGATATTTCTTTTATTTTTTTCGGTATAACTGGTCTGTGGAAGTAGACAAATTATTTTAAAGTTTTATAAGCAAGACAACTGTGGCTATTGACGACAATTTATGGCTAGTACGGTAAAAATTGTTTCGCCTCTGGCGGTTACATTTTCTTTCTAAACAGCGATCTTGACACACGTAATTCGTTTTTCCAAAACATTTAACTAGACCTGAGCATATTTCGAGAAAATACTGCCTTAGAAATGTCACATCTAAACTGAAGTCTATTAACTTGACGAACTGGAAGCGGCTATATTGTTTGTTAAAAACGAGATTGTAAATGGCCGCGCATACGCATATTAAATGTATTATCTAAATATTTTTTCATTGCCGCTTCCGGTATTTTCAGCATAGGCAGGGATCTATATATCTCGCAGCTATTTGGTTTTAATATTGAGTACATAGTTATAAGGTTGTTCGGAAAGTCATTTCGTTTTTTCCCGTCAGAGGACTTAATTACGTTTTTTCGAAACCAACTTCACACTTAAGCCGCATAACCACTATATGTCTTGAGAGCTGATATTGCAAGGCTTGTGTGTGAAAAAGTTCTATTAATTCTACGCAGTAGTTTTTGGTTGGTGCCCTTTTAAATATGGAGAGCAATAAGCAGCATTTTCGTCATATTTTACTTTTTTACTTCAGAAAAGGTAAAAATACTGTCCAAGCGAGAAAAAAATTGACGGATGTGTATGGAAAAGGCGTGTTAACAGTACGCCAGTGCCAGAACTGGTTTGCAAAATTTCGATCCGGCAATTTTGATGTCGAAGATGCACCACGGTCTGGAAGGCCGGTCGAAGCTGACAAAGATGCGATAAAGGCATTAGTTGATGCAAATCGGCGAATAACCACACGAGAGATCGGTTAGAGATTAAATTTGTCGAATTCGACTGTTTATGGCCATTTGAAAGGCATGGGCTTAACCTCGAAGCTCGATGTGTGGGTGCCCCATGTCCTTACGGAGCGAAATTTGTGTCGTCGCGTTGACGTGTGTGATTCGCTCCTCAAACGTCAAGAAAATGATCCATTTTTGAAGCGGATTATTACTGGGGACGAAAAATGGGTTGTATACAACAATGTTAAACGCAAGAGGTCATGGAGCAGAAAAGATGAACCGGCTCAAAGCGTATCAAAAGCCAACATTCACCAAAAAAAGGTGATGCTCTCCGTTTGGTGGGATGTCAAAGGAATCGTTTTTTTTTGAGCTTTTGCCGGACAATACAACGATTAATTCAGAAGTCTATTGTCATCAACTGGACAAATTGAATGATTCACTTAAAGAGAAGAGGCCCGAATTAATCAACAGGAAGGGTGTAGTGTTCCACCAGGATAATGCGAGACCTCACACAAGTTTGGTCACTCGCCAAAAACTTTTACAGCTTGAATGGGACGTACTGCAACATCCACAATATTCTCCAGATCTGGCGCCTTCCGACTACTATTTGTTCCGGTCCCTGCAAAATTTTTTGGATGGCAAAACCTTTACCTCAAATGAAGATGTCAAAAACCACCTGAACCAGTTTTTTGCCAGCAAGGACCAAAACTTTTATGAGAGGGGAATTATGTTACTGCCAGAAAGATGGCAAAAGGTGTCGGACCAGAATGGCCAATATGTAATTTAATAAAATATTTATTCATTATACGAAAACTGTCTTTCATGTTCCCCAAAAAAAACGAAATGACTTTCCGAACAACCCAATAAAAATATATAAAATTAGGAGGGTCAATATTCATTAATACTAAACAGTCGACAAGAAAAATGCTTATAAAACTAAGGATTCTCTTTTTGCAATTTTACTTCGTCAGATGGCGATGAGTAACCCTAACATACAGTGCTAGAGTTCAGGGAAGAAGGACCATATGCAGAATAATATAAACGTAAAAAATCTATGAAAATTAATTTCCTTATCTCAATCAATAGGTACAAAGTTTTTTAGAAATATGATCTATTTCAATGGTCCAAAGCGAGTAGAAATTTAACTACTGGTGATAATATCCCGGATATCGCCGAAGTGACTCGCAGCCGTAGGAAGCGAAACTGACGCGGTAAAATGACACTTTCCGCACGCTAGATCGGTGTATAATTGGGTATTTTCCAGAAGGGAGTTCATTTGGTAAAAGCGGAGCGCAGCGTAGCCATTGTTTACTAAACGACTCAAACGAGTTACTTAACCAAACGTGTTGCATTCTATACTTTTTTCTACTCCCGTCTCATGCCTAATTACACTCTGATCTAGCGTGCGAGAACCGTCAGTTTACCACGTCAGTTTCGGTTTCCCACGGATTTGGAGCCACTTCGGACATTCCCGGGATTTTACCGCACGTGTTTGGGAGCAATCGGATGTTTTCGGGGATATCTCCCACGCCTTGAATTTTGACGTTTGTCAATTCTGACGGTCGTAGAAAAAGTATAGTACGCGACACGTTCGGTAAACTATTTAAGTCACTCGTTTATTAAAAACTGGCTTCGTTCGTGTCAAATAAACTCCAAATGTTTGCACCGTTTGCATTGCGTTGTTGCATAATATACTATTTCTATGGCCGGGTACATTTTTGCAACACAACATTCGCTGACAGAATCAACAAACGTCAAAATTCAAGCCGTGTGATAATATCTCCGAAAACATCCGATTGCTCTCAAGCCAGTGGGATAATATCCCGGAAATGTCCGACTTGGCTCGGATTCGTGAGAAACGTTACTGGCGTGGTAAAATGACACTTTCCGCACGCTAGATCGGTCATGCTAGAGAAGGGAGTAAAAAATAGTATATTATGCAACAAGTGCGGTAAACGGCATTTGACTCACGAGTTTTTAATAGACGACTGAGTTCAAAAGTTTACCGAACATGTCGCATACTATACTTTTTCTACGACCTGTAGTTTTTGGGTACATTTTGGCAAAACAACAAACGTCAAAATTCAAAGCGTGGGAAATATCTCCGAAAACATCCGATCGCTCCCAAATCCGTGCGGTAAAATCCCGGAAATGTCCGAAATGGCACGGATTCGTGGGAAACGAAACTGACGTGGTAAAGTGACGATTCCCGCACGCTAGATCGGTGGGTAATTAGGTATTTTACAGACGGGAGTAGAAAAATATATTAAATATATGATAACAAGCTCCCTTGAGGAACGGTCCTATTATTTCCGTTTTTGAGCTTAACTACCGGTTTTCCAAAAGTCACCTGTCTTACAGTACATAGGGTGATTCATTAATACACGGCTCCCACTTTTTGGGCACGTTTTTCATCAGCTTGAACAAACGTTGGGTATAAACGTGGGTACGAAAACACTTTATTTCCTATGTACACGTTGTCAAAGACTTTTTGTTCAACTTATCTCCCACAATTTTTAAAATAATTAGCTAAAGTTTGGTATACTATTGCGTATGCAAAACGCAATATACCTGTTTAAAATTTTCGTCTCAGTATCTCCTCACGTAGCCTCTAGCTAGCCACATTTTATGATATTCTTACATCCCTAATGGACACATTTTTTTATTGATTGATTTGAGTTTCTGCATTTGATTTTGAAACGGAAACGAATTCTGCCTCAGGGAGTTTTCCATCCGTATAAAAATTGGTCGTATCGTTCGAAATCTCAATCTGCATCCGAAATTTTTCGATTTGCCGCGCGATTGAGATGGCTGGGAGAGACAGAAAACAACATCCAACTCGGTAATGACATATTGAAGGCATTTTGCATGAACATCACGTCCGTGTGGGGGGATAATGACGGATTCAAAGTACAATGAATTTCTTTTTCTTCTAGAGAGTGAATGAGTTTTTTTTTAACATTGTCAACGGTATCAAAACACAGGAAAAAGGAAAAATTTCCTTCATTTCATTTTTTTCTATGTATTTATTTTATTTAACGGCTCCTTGGTATTTCATTTCTCTCTTTCACTCGCTAACGACCAGTCTATATATACGACCAGCCAAGTCGTGCGTCCATATTAGATGCAAATCGAACTTGAAACAATTATTCGATGTAAATTGCTGGTCGTGACGTTCGGGCCGTATTGCCCGCCCGATCTGAACCCGTGTGGTCCTGCCGGCTACCGAGCGTGTGTTGTCGGTATATCTGTAGGAGAGGAAGGTGGCGGGCGCTTTATATTCAAATGGCGGCCTCCGAGGGCATAGATCAAAATGACGCTGGCCGCAGATTAACTTGTAGTTTGTACGGTCTTTTTGCACGCGGTGTGTCTCCCGCCTTATCTGGAACACCGAAGGGTCCTTTGTTAACGTCCGTTACGGACTAATTGGCACGGGATCGATGATAATCCTCGTGGCTAAACGCGGCTCACGAAAATAAAAAACGATTCGAGATCGTAGATTGCCTGTTTGCGGATTCGAACGTTATTTGACGCGTTTGGGACGTCTAAATCGAGTCGTTAATAGATAAAATTGATAACACAACGTCCACAATACGTCGGTACAATTTAGCGTTATTGTTAGTTAAAGGACTTTAACATAACTTCTCTCTATATCAAGACTACCACAGGCTCTATCGATTTCAGGTGCATCTCTACTTCAGCGCCTTGCCCGAAGACAAGGTACCATACGTCAACAGCGTGGGAGAGCGTTACAGAGTGCGTCAACTGCTACAGCAGCTGCCGCCACACGACAACGAAGTAAGATACTGCCACGCTCTCAGTGACGAAGAGCGCAAAGAGCTGAGGCTGTTTTCCGCTCAGCGCAAGAGGGAAGCCCTAGGTCGGGGGGCGGTCAGACAAGTGCCCGGCGCCATCAGATGCGACGCGGTAAGATTAAAAACAACAGTAGGACCATAAAAATTTACAGTTCTATAAAAACTAAGCTACAGCAATAATTGTAATCGCTAAAAGACGTAACTACGTCTTAAGTATTTTAAAGAAAAAAAGTGAGTGCGTCCCGGTTTTTTGTCACTGACAAGCAAGTCAATGTAAAAATAAATCATTTCTTGAGGAAATTGGTAATTTCTCTGTTAACGTACGTCACTGGAATAAGTATGACCTGAGCGAAGGATGAAGGTGAGAGAACGGACGGTACTAGAAGTTTCAAAACAAAAATTATCATGTAAATCGTGTAAAGAGTTTCGGGGAGATGTAATTGCCATCTTTTATGACCTTATTATAAATTTTCTCATATTAATCGTATTGACAGTGACTTCCATTTTAAACCAATTTCAAATCTTTTTGTTTAATGATTTTTGCTTGATCTCTGAAAGGCTAGTGATGAAGGATGTTCTAAACTTTTCGGAAATAAATATCGATAACTCCAGAAAGACTTAACGGATGTTAATAAAATTGGTATTGGTATCTGTCAGTGGAGGAGAGTAGCCCACACTGCAGCACTTAGGCTTCAGCAGGCTTATTGATTCCATGTAGGCGATGAGAGCTCCCAGATAAGGGATAGACATGAATTCGCTAGGCTAGTATAAACGAGGGGTTAGGACATTCGCAGAGAATGTGTTCGAATGTCTCGTCTTCCTTCGGGGTGCTACTCAAATACGATCTGAATTGGTATTTTTTAAGTAAGACCCATAAGAATACCTGTGACCATGCGTTGCTTTTTCCTAGACATAATCAGGACCAACCATTGTGTGAGCTATTACCACATAATCGCAAAAAATATTACAAAAAAAAGCAACAATATGAGTTATGTCATTACATAGTATCATAGTATAATTACAAAGTAATAAGTATAAAAATAATCGATAAAAAGACTTTTTTTTATTTTAATTTTCTGAATAAACATTTCCATTTTCATGGTTTTTATTAATTCTTAATAAAGCTCTATTTTTTATCTATCATGTCAAAGGATATTTAAAATCGAAATTTCTTTATCTTTTTTTTACCATACTTCCAAATGTTTTCAATTATTTGTGGTCGGGCTAACGCTGTTTTCAGAGTTCGAAGGACCACTTAGGAATCTTTTGGATTCCCGATAGGTTCAGCGGAGTAATAACCACTTAACTTTGTTTTTCACTACTTTAATAAATATACGGTAATCTACAAGCCAAACAGAAAGAAACAAACAAACATTTGTATTGCATATCAAAATTAATTGAAATTAGGAGGCATTCGCGGAGCGTCTCGACCCACACCCGTTCCACGCGTGAATCCCGTCGGGACCTGTCTTTTTCATCCTTGTCCTAGTGCAGTGTTGCCGGGTTGCGTCAAAGCTTGGAATTAATTTTTAGTCTTTCGCCTGAACATGCCGCCCGCCTTGGAACGTGTTGGTTCAAACACTTTCAAAACTGAACACTAGGAATGTTTTACTTAATTTTTATAGTCCGAATTTTCGAATGGGAAAGTGCAGATCTTTGACACTGCTCTTTTCACGATTGAATTGTTCACTTTCACACTCACTACTCGAACAATTCCGTCCTGACCTGGATGTAGTTCCGTTATCTTTCCAATATGCCACTTTAATGGAGGAGCATTGTCTTCTTTAAGCAGAACTACCATGTTTGGTCGTAACAACCTTTGCGAATTTTGTCGCCATTTGGATCTTACTTGTAACTCGTTCAAATATTCTAAGTGCCAACGCGTCCAGAAATGTTGCAAAATTTGTTGAAGTCTTTCGAATCGTTTTAATCGATTCTCTGGTACTTGTGTGTAAATTGGTTCCGGTATAGCAGTTAAACTTTTTCCAATCAAAAAGTGAGCCGGAGTGAGAGGATTTAGGTCATCGGGGTTGGATGTTAAAGGACACAAAGGTCGTGAATTCAAAACCGACTCAATTTGAACAAGAATAGTGTTAAAGTCCTCGAAATTTAAATGTGCGTTTCCTATTACGCGTTTAATGTGAAATTTTGCTCTTTTAATTCCTGATTCCCAAATCCCGCCAAAGCTAGGAGATCGAGCAGGTATAAAATGCCAGGTTATATTGTCTTGAGCTAGGGAATTATAAATTTTCTCCGATTTGTCTCGTAAGAAAGATTGAAATTTTTTAAGTTCGTTACAAGCGCCTACAAAATTCTTACCATTATCTGAATAAATGTTCAAAGGTTTGCCGCGTCTACCAATAAATCGTTTTAATGTAGCCAAGAAACAGTCGGTGGTAAGTTCAGAAACTAGTTCCAAATGAATAGCCTTACATGATAAACAAATAAAAAGACAAATGTATGCCTTGGTTAATTTGGGGTTTCTTGTTTTTCGATCCTTTAACAGGAAAGGTCCGGCGTAATCGACTCCGGTGTTATAGAATGGTAAATATTGATTAACTCGATACTCAGGTAAGTTACCCATTAAATATTCACAGGAATTTGGATTCACTCGAAAACAAGTGGTGCAATTTCGCGTTATTTTTCTTGTTAAATCACGTCCCGCTATGGGCCAATAACGTTCTCTTATCGAAGAAAGTAGCATAGTAGGTCCACAATGTAATAATCGGATATGTTCGTTTTTCAAGATCAAGTTTGTTAACGCATGTTTTGCTGGTAAAATTATTGGGTGTTTTTTATTGTAATCTTGGTCACTATTTTGTAACCTACCTCCTACACGGATTAGTTTGTTTTTATCAATAAATGGATTTAGTGATAACAAATTACTTCGTTTGTGAACTAGCTTGTTTTTTAATAAATTGTCGTAATCGTGTGGAAATGATTCTTGTTGTGCTAGTCGAATTAAAAATTGTAATGAGTTTTCTAATTCTTCCGTGCGTAGAGTATTAGTTTTTCTGTCATTTGAACGACAATTCGAAATAAAGCGTAAAATGTATGCAAAAACTCGTTGTAATTTACCTAAATTTGAAAATTTATTGAATAATTCGCTGTTTCTTAAAATAGTTAAATTTACATTAACCCGTTGTTCTGGAATTTCTACTTGATTTAATTCTGAATCGAAGTCGCAAAGTTCTAATTCCTGACTAGTGAGCCAGTACGGTCCTGTAAACCATATCGATGAATTTTGTAAGTCTCGCATTGACATACCGCGCGAAAGTAAATCGGCCGGGTTGTCACTTGAAGACACGTGATTCCAATCAGCTGGGTTTGACAAACGCTGAATTTCACTTACGCGGTTTGCAACGAATGTTTTCCACCGTTTAGGTGACGCTTTAATCCAAGATAAAGCTATTGTGGAGTCTGACCAGAAATATGTTTTAAAATCGATCTTAATTGATTGGCGTATTTTCTGCATTAATTTTGCTAGTAATAATGAGCTACAAAGTTCTAGTCTGGGTAAAGTTAGCTGCTTTAGTGGAGCTACCCTCGATTTCGCGGCGAATAATTGTGAATGAAATTGTCCGTCTTTGGTTTTACAACGTACGTAAACACAAGCTCCGTAAGCTTTTTCGCTTGCGTCTCCGAAGCCGTGTAGTTCGATTTGCACATAGTCGGACGCTGTAACTTGTCTAGGGATAGTAATGTTTACTAGAAATTGTAAATCTGTTTGAAATTCTTGCCAAATGATTTCTAGATTTTTCGGTAAAGGTTCGTCCCATGAAATCTTTGCTTGCCAAAGATTTTGAATTAATAGTTTTGCCGTGATAATTACTGGTCCTAGTAATCCCAAAGGATCAAATATTTGTGAAATTATTGATAAAATTGATCTTTTCGAGATAGTTGCCTTGTTGGTTTTAGGATTAACATTAGAATACTGGATTTTGTCTGAACTTGCATTCCAAACTATACCTAGGGTTTTGTTAGCTTCGTTTTCGCCTATTTTTAGAACGCTACATTCTAATTGATTGTCTGAGTGATCGATTTCTTCAACTTGCCAGAATTTTAATAATTGATCGTCTAGAGGTGAATTTTGAGTAAAACAGCTTATCGACTTTAAATGTGAATGATTTGCGTTTCTTAAATGACCCGCAATAATCCAACCAAGCTTGCTATTTTGAAGGGTTAAGTTTGTATTTTGTAATTGAATTTGTCCGACGCGTAAAAGTTGCCAAAACACGCTAGACCCTAGTAAAATGTCTATCGGACTGCACTGGTTAAAATTAGGATCAGCCAATTGTAAGTTGGCGGGTATGTTTATTTCTTTTCTCTCGAAGGGAGTAATGGGTAAACTGTCTGTTATTTGTTTTAAAACTAAGCAAGGTGCTGTTGTTTTGAATAAATTATCTCGCGAACTTAATCGTAAATCAACTATTTGGTTTGCATTAGATATAGATTGACCGACGCCTTTGATTGAACAATTAACTTGTTTAGGTTTTAAATTTAATTTCTTAAACAATCGCTCGGTTATAAAGTTACTCATTGAACCGCTGTCCAAAAGAGCTCGACTTTTGACTTTGTTGCCGCTTGAATCTGTAACTAAAACTACTGCGGTTGATAGAAGGACCTGACTAGTAAAATTGGCAACGGTTCCGCAGCCGGCTAGGACTTGGGTCTCGGTGGACGTTGCGGCGGCGCTTTGAGAATCTTTTTTGTGATGCGTTTCTGCTGAATCGCTTTTATTGTTTGCGTTTTTTAATGGTGGTGTGTTTTCGGACCTTTGATCTTTATTGTAATGAAGTAATGAATTATGTGGTCGTCCGCATTTACGACATTTGGAAAGTAAACAATTCTGAACTTGATGTGATGGTCTTAAACAATTAGTACATAAGTTGCGATTTTGTACTTCCGTTAATCGTGTCTTGGGTGTAAGCTTTAAAAATGACTCGCAATAATAAATTTGATGATCTTTTTTACAATAGAAACAAATTGGTTTGCTTGAGCTTGCGTAAACATTGGAACTTGTTTTTTGTTTAAAGTCGAATTTTGTTTTTTCTGGCTTGTTAATCTCGAATTTTTCTAGAAATTCGCAACGACTTTTTAGAAAATTATGTA